AGCACCAAGCAGAAGGTTTGACAAGAATCACCACAAGACACTTAGTTCAGATTTAATCTCCTGTCATTTAAGTATTTGAAAAGAAGATTACTATATAACTAATACGCCCCTACATAGCATCTTTTACCTTAGGAATATAAATTATTTTATCAGTACTAGGTAATTGGGATCAAAGTTCACTCTGATAAACATTATGTATATTCTTAGAAATGTGGACATGCAGCTAGAGCATAAAATCCTGGACACTAGTAAATGTGGCTTAAAATATCACCTTAAAATAGATGTGCCGCTCCTTTGATGGCAGTTACCTTCTCATCAGTCTGTTTGGTAGCTAGGGCACTTTCTATATGTTTTCTCAATATAACTCAGATAAAAAGTATTTTGACCTAATCAGCCTACTCTGTCTGATTTGGCATGATTGTGTATGCAGCAAAGTATGCAGCATTAATAGATATTCACTGGACACTTGACTAATTGCTAGAGAACAATATATGTCTTCAACATTCATAATTTTTCATAAAATCAGGAAAGCTAGTAAGAGCAAAACCAAAATGCTTATGAGAGGAGCTCTGGAACTTGTTTGCTGAGTTTACTATTGCTTGTGTGGTCCTCCTGAAGTCACACACACTATAGATATATTTACCTATATCAATCCCTACTGACAATCTGAAATCAGAAAATATTTTTCACAAATTAACCTAACAAAGATTGTGGGGTTTTAATGTAACAAATGATAGAAGCCGTATTTTTCTCCAACTCTGATCATCCTATAAAGAAGTATACTGGAACACATACCAACACTGTGGAACAGATCATCTTTTATAGAAAGAACATGGGCAGAAGCATAGAAGGTATATTTCTGAGAAGAGATCTATGCTTTACTCAGATATTGTAGCAGTTAGGTAGTAGTTAGAGACTTATCGCTGAGTTTACACACTGGGATACAGATGTGTTGTCCTATTTGTGCAGTGATATCCAAGACTTTAAATTCCTTGCATTTCACTAATGTTGGAAAAAATGATGAATATCTAGTAAAATTTCAGCGAACTGTACTAGTGAGTTGAGATATAACACATGCCTTTAAGGCCTAGAAGAGAAAAGCTGTCTTTTACATAGATGAACAGCTTAATGACTTAGCTATAGACTCCATTTACTTCCCATTAGCTCTCTATAAGAACTTATAAAAGGTGTAGTTATTAAATTATTTCCTTCACAAGAACAGCTTCTTGTATTGTTGTCAAGGAATTCCTCCAGCATCAGATTTCTACTTATCAACGTCAGCTCTATTTCACAAACAAAATCAGACATTTTTCGCTTCATTTTGTGACGGTCTAGTTGTTCTGAGTAGTTCTACTAGAATTGTTGCTTTGGTGAGTTTGGGTGATACTATGTGGTTTCTGGATTCCAGTAATGAACCAGATTGCAGTATGGCTTTAATGAGACATGGTGGACCAGTTGGCTCTTGACATGAAGATAATGTAGAATTAAAAGAGCTCAGTGAATCTCAGGGACAGCTAGGATCAGTGCCTCCAAAGTTACCCAGTTTAGTGGTTATTGGTTATAGAAACTTAAATGAAGTTTTAAATATCGCTCTGTAGTTGCAACTCAGAAGTTGCCTTTATCTTGAAAGGACTCGCAAGTTGCAAAACAATCTCTGTACTACCACACATTTTGTCTTTATAGTGTGTTTACTTGAATAATGTAGCCAAAGTTCTTGGAGGACAAAACAGTCTAATTAGTTTCACCTATCTTCCTGACAAAACAAGAAACAACGAGTAGATTGTGCTAACCAACTCCAGCCAAGCAATCAAAACCTGAAATTCCATATGCCTCAGTGAAAATTAACCACTCTGCTTCTAGAAAATTGAACAGTTCACACACACACAATTTTCGAGTCAAACAGCTCAGGAAATGAGAGTAAAAACCAAACAAACCAACCCCCAAAATCAAATCAAAACAAAACAAAACAAAAACCCAAACAAACCCAACCCAACAAAAAAAAAAATCTAATCTATTATGAATATTTCCTTTTCTGTTACAGAGAAGTCAGTATAATTCTTGAAAAGCACAAGCTGGATACTAGTTTAAGCATTAACAGAATTGTTGAACAAGTTCAATGTAAATTTTATTTACTTTCATATGTTAAAACATATAATGCATAAAACAAAAAAAAAGGAAGAGCTTAACTTCAGGTTCTAGGTTGCATATGAAAGTTCGGCCCCAGTGAAACAGGATTTTTTTTTGCTTTGCAGAATTAACCAATCACTCTAGAACCATCCCTCCACCTTCCCAAAAAACATTAGTGTATGATCCTTAAAATATCATTTTTACAGTGGCTCCTTTCTTCTCTTTTCAATGTATTTAACTAGACACTCTTCAGTGATTTCAATGTGGGCCTGCATGGGCCTTTTCAGTTTATATAGAGAACCAAATTCACAAAAGAATATCAGACATTTTTTTCCCCCAGTTATCCTATGAATAGCACTTCAGACCGAAATTTGTCATCCAATTTCCATGCTTGCAGGCAAAAGGGGTAGTTAAAAGAAAATTTTAATATTATAGTAAAATAATTAAGATCCTCCCCTCCAGTTCAACGTCATTAAAAGACAACACTTTTTTTTTTTTTTTAATGCTGGAAAATACTGTAGGCACTGGTACTACCTGTTAATATGTATGACCTGTAAATTTCTGCAGAAAGGTAGCAAAATTAACGTGCAAAGTAGACTGCCTACAATCTTGATGAACACTATGTTTTTCCTAATTATTTTTCCTTTTAAAGTAAAAAAAAGAGGTTTTTCTGTGCTTTTCATTGGGTTGACAAGTATAGGCCTTTTTTTTTTTTTTTTCTGTAAATCTGCTTCTTTAATTCAAACAGAAAATTCATTTTAGTAAATGGAAAATTTTACACATTGTGCTCATTATTATTTATTCTAAGTCTTGCCACTTCCCCTAAAATCACAGGAATATTAAAAAAAATTATTCTAAGACTTACAGAAATACCAAATTTGAATTATTAATTTGGTTATTTTTCCATCTTCACAACTGAAAAGAGTTTAAAGCTCATCTTCCAAAGAAGAAACATGGTTAAAAAAAGCAATTGACCATTTTTATTTTGTTTACATTGCACTGAAAATTTACATCATACTTTTACAAATCCTTTTTCATAAAAATATACTTCTTTACAAAAGTGTATGCATTAATATAAGAGGAGTAGCCAGTTGCAGAAGAAGCATTTTAAACGATCTCAAATGTATTAACCTTAACATTAATGAATGAATCATAGTTATTGCAGTCATTTGAATAAACAAGAATAAATAACAACCAATGGTATAAAATATAAACCGGCATCCTTTTAGTAGAATACAGTTTGACAGAGTTGTATGAATATTCAAAACAAAGTGTTGTAAAATGGTTTATAAGAAATTCATCAAACATTATAGAAATCCAAGCAGCAATCCTGGGTACAATGATTTTTGGTAGGCACTCTATTACGGTAATAAAAAGTTTAGATTTTCACAGAATTATTAATGTCTGAAAGGGACAATAACAGATAATTCACACTGGCTAACACACAGCATTTGTGAGTCATGCTATGAATGGAAGACAATGACTTACATCAAATAAATTACTGAGTTGTCACTGAATAATTCTGATATGAAATAACTGTAAAACTAAAAAATTGTATTTCCCTATAAGTGACTCTGGAATGTCTAAAACTTGTATCTGAGGGCTATGGAATATGGATTGTCCCTAAAATGAATGGATTGTTCCTAATAAAATCATGGCTTTATATTTATATATATATATTTTACATTTATGTTTTCATTGCACTATGGTAATATATTCAATTTTAAATCATTATCTGTAAGGATTTGTTTCCATAAAGTATGGAATATATAGATAAAATAGATGTAAAAACACAGTATTTCCAGATTATAACTTCCTCTTGCCTTGTAGGTCTGAGCCAAAGTTCATTGAAGTCTGTTAGAATCCATCAACTTCAATGGGACTTTGCCATGCTTTGTGCATGCATTTTGACAAAATGCTGAAGGACTAAACTGCTGTGATACAGCCTAGATTTAACTAGCATGTATTGAAAAATGGACTCTTAAATTTTTGATATATGGATTGATTATTAATGTTACTGTAAACTGCACTTTTTGATTGGAAATATCATTAAATTCTGTTTTCACATTTGAAAAAAATGTAAGATGGCCACTCTTTCGAATGATCTTCAACAGTAATGAACATAGCCACATGACAAAGCTCAATTCATACTAGCTTCTCGATTGCAAAATTTGTCTAGTTGTATGACTGACAAAAGAAATGTAGAAACATCACCATTTGTGGGTATTGTTAATGGAAACAAAGAGGTTGATTTGGAACATGAAAAGGAAGCAAGATGTGAAGCAGGGAATAAAATCCATTAAATAAGAATGTGACATTTTAATTTTTCTTCTGTGACGTGAAAAGAGTAAGTTGTACTTGCTGATTTCTAAACACTACATCCTGGACTTAAAAAATTAACTGTTCTGAGAAAAATAAAATACCAAACGGTCTGAATAAATGAAAAAAGGTACAAACTCATCAGAAAAATATAGCACATGACTGTTAAAGAGAAGTCTGTGACCTATAGTCTCCTGTAAGTATAGCTCTTATTTTCTACCTATATCTTTTTTTTAACCCAGTCCCGCTATTATAGTTTTTATAAAGCACAGAAATACTGACAGTGGATGCTCCTCCAATATATGCAAATATGTTTTATGTTTTAGAATAACCTCCTTTTTTAAAAAAGCAAATAAACTGTGAGTAGCACTCATGGAGTGCAGCAAATTTTTTTAAAACTCTCCGTGGTACACACGAAGAAGAATTCTGATCCAGTTTATGAAAAACAAAACCAAAACAAAATAACCACAACCCATTCTTGTCTATCATCCTCAGGAAAAGGTGACTCAATATATCCTGAAAAGTGTGCTTTAATTTTTTTTTTTTATTTCTTTTTTTTTTTTTTTTTTAAATCAGTGAACTGTGTGTGCACTGTGTTGTGTGTCAGTTTCCAGACTTCGAAGACATATCATTATCACACTATACCATTGTGCAAACGGTGTTCAAGTTGGGGTCAAATCGTACCGCTTTTCCTTCCACAGACTTTGCATTTGTGTCATACATGGGGTTTTCAAAAGCAGCTTGTCCATTATTATTTTCATGTACAGAGCATCCTGTATACTGTGTTTTAGGTGCAGTCCTGTAGAAAAAAGACAAGAGCATTTGTAACTGCAGTTCTCCTCACTGGCTTGATGCCGTTTAAGAATCTGAACAGAATTTAGTTCCCAATTCCAACTATGGGAGCTAAATATAACATCTCATTTTTTCTATAGCATCTGTGCTAAAAATCAGTACTGTCTTCATCAAAGTTTAAGGGACTTATGATTCATTTAAAACGGTACTCACTTGAAAACTTAGTTACCAATCTGAGAAGAGGTAGGTATTTCCACTTGGATGATCAGATGATAAATAGTTAATAGCAGAACAAAGTCTTGTAAGGATGCAATAATTCCCCAGTCAGATGACTGAGATTTTCCTTTTCACTTTGGAGACTCAACAAGTTTATCAAGAATTAATTTATAGCTGAAACATTTTCTTATTCACTAAATAACTCAAAACATCAAAGTTAAATCCCTTGAAAATATTTCATCTATATTGTTATGCAAAATGCGTACTATATTGTAAATCAGCAATATAAAACAAGTGCTTACAGCATACAGCTAATAGCAAATGTATAAAAAAATTACACGAGTATTTTTTCATATTCTGAAACAGTTCAAAAATAAGTGGTACCATTTAAAAATGATAGTATGTGTTTTAAATTAAAGTTATCCTGCAGAGTATACTACAATTATTATTGTCAGGCTACCACATGTAAATCACCATTTTGACACTTAATAGGCAATGAATTGTCTTGTCATTAAAATTATTAAATTTTATTTAGTCATCTAATGTTTTAAAGCTGTAGGAAAAATTACTTGACACTAAATCCAAAGATCTAATACTGGTCCCAATAACATGAACAAAACCATTGAACTGAGACTAATGAAACTGAGAAGACTGGTGGCTATGCAACATAGTTGCATAGGAACTAATAATTTCAGATACAGAAACAGTTCCATAATGAAACCTCTCAATGACATAGTACATGCATATGCTTGCAAGCCAGTGAAGTCACTAAAACAATTTACTCAAGATACAATTCATAATTCTGTTACATGTAAAAAGTAATACAGGCAATCTACTGTAGGCATACACAAAGTCTATTTATTATATTATTCCCCATATGCCAATAATTTATAGCACCCCTTTTGTTACCATAAAGAGAGGAATTTATAACATTTTAAAAAAGTAGAAATGGAAGTATAGGATGGTACAATAAACTGATCTCTCAGTCGTTATGCCAGACCTTAATGAAAGTAGGAAGAACTGATGACACACATATTTTGCAAGTATTTTGTGGTTTTACAGAAAACTTTTTTTACACTAATAAAGATTTAAGGGAAAAAAACCACCAAGTCATACAGGAATTCTGTATACATAATTTGTACTTACCTTTGTTTATAAAGATAGAAGCCAAAACCAGCAAATATAAGAGCAAAGAAAGGCACAAGGATAGCAATGGCCACTGAACTACTATTTGTACCATGTGGTTGATTAGAAGAATTTGAACCCTCAGACATATTAAGACCTAAAAAGAACAATAAGGAAAAACAAGTAATGTAATATACGTGTCTTGTTACCCCAGCACATGCTACTCCCTAAACTTCAGAACTCAGTAACACCTTGTGACTGGGTCATCATAATGTATTGAGCTGTATGTTGAGACCATCTGGAAGGTAACTCTGTTGTATACCATCCAAGTGGATGCAAAAGGTCAGGAGAACAATACATGTACTTAAGTACAATAAATATTTTACTGAACAATTCTATATGGGATTCAAGTTTTGGATGTTGTTAATACACATTAATGTTACAAAAAGTCAAATTTGTAATAACTCATACGTTAGTTTGATTATACTACTGATTATATTTGTATATTTCAGAAAGAATAAATACTTCCTGTATAAAAACCAAACACAATTTCAAGGAAAGGGTAAATCACCTGAAGAGGCAAACTGAAAATTCATCACGTTGATTTCATTAGGGTCTGCTATTGATACACAGAGTGAAGGAGGTAGGAACAACTGTGAAGAGCTAACACTAGATATTAATGAAAAACTAAAAAGATGATATGCTTCACGCTTAAGAAACACGTTATTTAGACGATATACACAGATAAGCTATACCTTTCTAATGTGAGCAAAGTGCAGCTTATAGCTAATTTTTAAGCTTTGAAATAGACCTATATCATAGTCATAATATTTCCTGACTTTCTTGATCTTACAAGGCAATACACAGAAATTTAAAAAAAACACACAAACAAACAAACAGAAACAAACATATGATCAATACGCAAAAATACAGAAAAATAAATTAAATATCATGAGGAGAATTGTATGGGGACAATAATAAAAATATTTTATTTCAGAGAAACAATTTTTGTGTTTGTGTGCACGAAATAATGAAGTGGTAAACATGCTAAACAAAATCTGTTCAAGGATTGTAAATCTCTCCATAACTGTATTATTGACTATATTAATTACAATTAATTCTTGTCTAGAATTTAAACCAGACTGAACTGTTCTGTTCCTAGAAGATATAAACCAATGTAAAGTACCTTCAACATATTAAATAAAAGAATCTCACAACTGAAGAAAAAAAAAACCTCTCTGAAAATCTAATGAAGAAATACAATTTTCATAAGAATCTACCACAACAACCTGCCAAGGAAATCTTGCATTTTAATTTTTCTTAGGTGACTTTCAAATTTTTTGAAGAAGTTAACAAAGGGAAGGAACTCTTTTTATATTAATTTAAAGGAAATAGTTCTTGATGAAGATAGTTCTAAAAATTCTTTTAAAATAATTTGCATATGCAAATACAGTGAAAATCAAGATTAGAAGCAGTGCATTTTACTGTGACTTAGAAGTGTGAAAAAAGAAAAATTTGCCTTTACTCATACATTGATCAATAAATCCTTCCAGCACATTCAAGAATTAAACAATTTCCTAGTTCTACTTAATAAATAAGGGTGCACAATACTTTGCAGCTGAAAGAACCAGCTTTTGCCTCCACATATACAAATTTTATCTGAACACAAGCACTTTATCTAAGGAGCCATTACATTAGTGAAAAATAACACCCATTCTAATACATTCTTGATAGCATTTTATCATTCAAGAATTCAGTATTAGCTGTATTTAAACTCTTGTTGAAGCAGAAATATCACAGTTCTTAAGACAGTATCAGAAATGTAAATTACACTCTTTTTCTTAAAAAGCACAACAGAATGTTACCAGAGCTGTCTTCTCCAATAAAGGATAAGTAAAGACTTAGTTTGGCGTAGAACTGAATTTATAGAACCAAGAAGTCAATTTTTAGGAATTAAATGCTTATCAAGTAAGTAACATTTTGTTCTTCTTAAGAGTAACACAAAGATTTACTTGTAAATATTTAGCAGCTTCGCTCTAGCTAATGTTTAGGTGAAATGTTGTTTCAGCGCCATAAGCCAGAGATAAGTTGAGCAGAGCATTCTATAACATGGGCTTTCTAAATAGTCATTAAGATGTGAAACTAAATGCATTTTACACATATTCATAGAAAAACAATGCCTAAAACATGACAAATGCAGAACATTGCAAGGCTTCTTAACTCCCAATAACTTCTGACAAAACACTCTTTGTAAGTACTACTTAAATGAGATTTTAAGACATTAATATCTCAGTATTCTATAAAATGTTAATAGTGATAACATTCTCCAGATGCCCTTGCACTACTGGACATAATAAAACAGAAAATGGAACAATGAACTTGAAAAAATTTGCTGAATACCTAATCTTTGAAGTCCAAATTGTCCATAATCTTTACCCTGGATGAATCCTTGAAAAACATATGTTGCCCCATCTTCAGAAACCTGTAAACAAAAAACAGTCTGAACTAAATGGAGAAAAATCTGCTACAAGTTACAAGCATGTATTTGGAAGAGAGATATCCCAATATGCTTGACTGGCAGCTGTTATTCCCCGTTAAAAACACCCTCTTTTTTCTAAGTTCAAAAGAAAAGACAGAACTGTTAAGGCACAACTTAGACATGGTGGCTTACGGTCACATATACTACCTTATACTACATTTACCTGTATTATTTTCCAACATCTATATCAACAAACTGGCAATTTGAGATGTAAATATTTCTGACAAACAGAAATATTTGTTTATGGCAAACATATTGTAGATAATCCAAAGTACTGAGGTTTTAATAATTGCTTTAAAAATGAAATAAAAAAGACGTTGCATTGAATTGACAGTTAGTTCCTTCCTTTCTTCTCAGTGATCATCCCAATAATTACTTAATTATACAGTTGTAAACCAGAAGAATATTGAATGAGACTTTGAGACTTTGGTACAAGAGCAGTATATGCTAGTATAAACTAAAAGACTTGTGGAAGGGAGGAAAGGGTTGTGATCCTATTAATATCTCCATTATTAGGGTAAGTACATTCTAAACTAACAAATAGTATTCAAATTTACAGGTCCTTCCTTCCCAGGATAGTTATTAGGCTTAAATTCACTAGTCCTGAGGCAGGTTCTTTCAAGATTTTCCCTTAAGATTCCCTTTCTCAAGGCAACAGTACATCTTCAGCAAAAGCCTGAAGCTGTGTTTTCACTGAAGAAAGAGTGCATTTCTCAGGTGAATTTCTTACTTTGGAGTAAAGCAGTCTGTTTGAGCTACTCCAAGATTAAAAAAAAAAAAAATTAAAAAAGGAGAAGTAAATCCAGTATGTAAATAGCATACGTAATATAGGGACTGTACACTACATACACTTTTGCACATTTAGAAGCCTGAAAGTAGATTTCTTGTTTTACCATATTTTTTTCACCTCAGGAGCATGTTCATGAAGCCTCAAGTTCATACAAAACAAGGGAGTTAAGCCTTTTTAGCAGTATATTGGTTGTTTAAGTGTTTTAGGGTTTTTTGCTTTGGTTTTGATTTTGCAGCTTTCAAAAAATATTATGGAAGCAGTACCACAATTTATACAAACATAAATTTGTGCATATACTTCAATGTACACCTCTTCTCTTCTTTTGGCATGTTCACCCATATTGCTGCCCCGTCATGCTTTACCAGTAGGTGAAAAATAACAAAAGAGTCAAATTCCTTGAAAAAAAAAAGGTGTGTAGAGTAATAGGGAGGTATGAGTGCTCATCATAGTCCAAATTATTTTAGGCTCTTTCTTTTCTGAAAAATCTACTTCCTTTTGTCTGGCAAATAAAGTGTCTCACGCTTGCAACAAACTCAGCTTTTTCCAGCCTTAACATTATATTGGGTAATGTTTGTTCCCTGAAGGTATTTCCTTTTAATGGTTTAAACACATCACAACCACCTGCGCTGTTGCTTCTTCTTTTTACCCCTTTCCTTCATGTTTCCTCCTCTCAGTTATGTGCTTTCTTCTTCACACTTTTAAAGAATAAGCTCAGCCCCAGAACTCCAAGGGGCTTAATGCTTAATTGGAGCAATGTATTTTGTTTTCCCCATACATGTAAAAGTTCATCTTTTTCATGATATTTCTAAAAAATCACCAAAAAGTAAAACAAGACTGCTAGCCTAATTATAAACATTGTTGTTATATATTATAATATTATTATAAACTGATATTATATTATAATGATGATAACATTTCTTAATATATTGGAATAAAATTCAAAGAGACGTAAGAGAAAGGCTTCTGTGTTAACATGCATTATAATTGTGCCTACAAAGTATGACTGTTCATGTATTTTCCCTCTGAGTGGTCTCCTATATCTTACAATAAAATTTTCATTTCATTTAATGAATCAGCATTGCTAACAAGAGTCCATTTGGTATGTCTCAGGATTTTTTGGGTGTAGAGACTCAGCATGATTTCCAACAAAAAAAAAAATCTCTCTTTTGTAGCAGAAATATACTCACAAAACCATCCATAGCCCATTTTTCCTCTTTCAAGTTGCTCACAGATGCATGGGAGGGTGCTTTAATGAGATATATGTGGAGCATTAGCCGAGCTTCCTGGCTTTTATACACCCCTGTAGAATATAGTTTTAAAAATTTATATTTGTGTTGAGTAGAGAAATAATTTCATCTTTAAGAACAAGCATTCAATCTCTTGCCTTAAAAAGGGAAAGCAGGAAGAATAGGTAGTATTGTTAGTGACATTTTACTTTAGCAAGATGCATTCTTTTGTGAAATTATTATTTCAATTATCCTAGGATTTCAACAGAAACTCTTTTTAGCTTAGCCTGTAGAGAGGACAGAAGGGAAACCCTATAAACACAGCTGTTAGTTAACAGTTATGGTAACAAGCCATAGACAGAACAAACACTGACGGCAATCTGATTTGAAATGGAAAATACTGTTCTGAATCAGGCAGTGTATTTGAACCTCACATACCCACTCCCAACATTTGTAATTCAGCCATCAGACAAAGAAAGTGATAATAGGACTATCCACATCTAAATTCTTTTCCAAAAGCTGGTGCTAAATTAAAAAATTTTAAATTTGAAAATATCTCAAAAAATTGAATTGTTCTTCATCAATCAATGTTACAACACAGTTGACTCATTTTCATTCCTGCAGAAGAAATATCTGGAACCCAAATAACCTTATTTGTTCATATCAAGAATGAAAATAAAATAGCACAATATACCTAGTGATCTAATCTTCCATTACAAAGACAATGGTGAACAGTGAAAATGCAGTCAAGACTTTTTCCCCTGCTTTTTTAATCATTGTTATCAATTAATGGTTTAAGACTTCAGTTTTTAAATAGAAGACCACTCTAGTATGATCATTTCCTTTCTGGCAGACCACTGAAATTACTGTTCATTTCATATGAGGTCTTCCATTTTTAGAATCATGCAAGGTTATACTGCACTTTACATGAAAAAAAAGCTAATCATGGCTAAAAACTGAGCAGAAAAAAAACCTAAAACCAAGAAAAAGAAAAAAAAGCCCAAACAACTGCACCTCCAGAAAATTCTACCAAACTGAAATTAAAATTCACTGATTTATTGACTCAATGCATCACAGAACAGACTCCATACTGAAAATGAATTAGAATTAAACACTGGCTTTTATCCCAGTTTCAACTTTTTTTTTTTTCTTTTTTCAGTTTATACTGACTAACAAAAGTAGATGACTTCAGACTAGATTTAGATAGTATGTGTTAGCTATGTGTGAACTAAACTAGATTTCTTTTCATTAACTTAAAACTTCATTAACATAGAAGTATCTTTAATTTTGGTAGTTTCACATTTTTATGTTCATCCAAATTCTTTGATGTGGACAAGAACTGAAGACAGCACTGAGGTGTAGGAGAAAGTCCTGGCCCTCTGTATTGGGTTTGCTTGGCAAGGTTTTGGTAGTGGGGGGAATACAGGAGTGGCTTCCCCATGTCTGACAGAGTCAATGCCAGCCAGCTGCAAGGTGCACCGGCCCCTGGCCAAGGTTGAGCCCCTCAGCGATGGTGGCAGCGCCTGTGGGATAACATATTTGAGAAGGGGAAGAAACTGCTGTGCCACAGCAGCCAGAAGATAGGAGTGAGAACAAGTGAGAGAAATGACCACGCAGACACCGAGGTCAAAGAAGAAGGAAGGGGATGAGTTGCTCCAGGCGCCGGAGCAGAGGTTCCCCTGCAGCCCGTGGTGCAGCCCATGGTGAGGCAGCTGTGCCCCTGCAGCCATGGAGGTAACGGGGGAGCAGAGATACACCTGCAGCCCGGGGAGGACCCCACGCCAGAGCAGGTGGATGTGCCCAAAGGAGGCTGTGACCCCATGGGAAGCCCATGCTGGGGCAGGCTCCTGGCAGGACCTGTCGATCCATAGAGAGAGAGGAGCCCAGGCTGGAGCAGGTTTGCTGGCAGGACTTGTGCCCCCGTGGGGGACCCACGCTGGAGCAGTCTATTCCTGAAGGACCGCACCCTGTGGAAGGGACCCACGCTGGGGCAGTTCGTGAAGAACTGCAACCTGTGGGAAGGACTCATGTTGGAGAAGTTAATGGAGGACTATCTCCCGTGGGAGAGACCCCATGCTGGAGCAGGGGAAGAGTGTGAGGAGGAAGGAGCAACAGAGACAACTTGTGATGAACTGACCACAACCCCCATTCCCCATCCTCCTGTGCTGCTGTCTGAGGGGAGGAGGTAGAAAATGCAGGAGTGAAGTTGGGCCTGGGAAGAAGGGGTGGAGGGAATGTGTTTTAAGACTCGGCTGTATTTCTCATCACCCTACTCCCATTTGACTGGCAATAAATGGAATTAATTTCCATTAGTTAAGTCTGTTTTGCCCATGTCAGTAATTGGTGAGTGATCTCTCCCTGTCTTTATCTCAATACAGAAGCCTTTAGTTGTATATCTTCCCCTGTGAAGCTGAGGAGGGGACTGATAGAGCGGCTTGATGGGCACCTGGTGTCCAGCCAAGGTCAACCGACCACACTCTCCAGTGAAAAAAAATACAACTAAGGCTGAACAAAACACTAGTTTACACAGTAGTGGAAGGCAGGAAATACCTAGGTACTTAAGAGCTCTTTGCATCTTAAGATAGAGAAGAAAGAAATGGTGGTACAATCGAATAGCTTAATATTGGAATGCAGTGCTGCAAAGAGATGATCCAGGAGATAGCAGAGTTTTCACACTAACAGAGGTTTGTATACATGGTCAGAAGAAAATGGTGGGTGATGTTATTGTGTTAAAATCAATTCCAGAGAAGAAAAAGCATGGTCACATCTGTCTTGCCGGCTGCTAGTCTGAGAAAAACAAAAATTTATAAAATGGAAACAGATCACATGCCCAGCTATATCCCAACTAAGAAAAGACATTTAACTTTGTCCTCTCTGTTAGTTTATTCACTCTGGACTCTCACTATAGACTACAGAGAGATGGGCATCTCAAAAGTTCAGTTCAGGTTAAGATACAAACTTCCCACCTCTCTTCAGAAGGTGCAGTAAGAGACTGGGCAATGAGATTCCTAATTCATGTTTCTCATTTACATGCCTAAATTGACAGAACAAAAGCCTTCTCCACATTAAGGATAGGTGATTGCCCTCTAGGAGGTATTATATATAAATCAACTCTGAGCTAACAAGAAGACTTACTTTCGTGTTAACACTGCAGTGAGCTCAAATGAATGTGCCTTGGTAAGATAGGGTTTATGCTCTTGTCTTCAGGACTGCGTTAACATTATCACATGGTGTTTAGTCATTTCAAGAACTTGGACAGCGTGCATCTAGATATCATTTGGAACTCGGGAAAAAAATCAATCACATCTGCTGTGGATGCATCTTACAAACGTACACTGGGAAATACTTGCATGAGGTTGAGGGCTGTGGTATCCTTATGCGGGCATGAACATTATGTACCTACACTCAAACGAGAGCATTCAGAAAAATTACCCCACAGACCAAGGCACCACTGCTATCTGCTAATTTACAATGGTGAATTCACAATCATTTCTTGGTGAAAGGCTGACGTGCTTCTTCAGAGCTGGCAACTGGCTCCCAGTGTACAACAGTGTTTAATCTGAGCCAAATAAACAAGTTGTACCTTTCTCTTCTGTTAATCCCTATAATAGCATCCCTATTTTCACTCATGCTAACCTGATCAAAAGAACATGCCCATTCCTAACCTGTAATAGGGATGTATACTATTACAGCAAGCACAGGTATCAAAATAAATTTTAAAAAAATAAATAAAAAAAGATGCAGCAAATGATGGAATAGAAAAGAGTAAGTGCTGCAGGGGGGGAAAACTACTTCACATTTCAGAAACCTACAAGCAGAGTATAGGAGAAATCAGCTTCCTGGCATCTATTGATCCATCCCTACTTCCCTGACCCTAAGATACTCTTTCAATGTACAGAATCTCAGTTTTCTATCTGCAAAACAGGGAAAGAAAATAATATTAATTACCCGATGTGTGCAATGCCTGTATGTAGAGCAAAAATGGGCATTTGTTATCATGTTTGTGTCCAATTCAGGGAATCCTGTTATTTGGAGGAGGAGGTTGCTTGGGTGAGAAAACACAGCTTTTACTAATTTTTTTTTTTTTTTTACTAATCCTAAAAATATGAAATCCTACATTGTCTGCACCTAATACTCTCATAGAAATTACATGGCTGAAACTAAGCAGGCATCATATGATAGAATAAATTCACACAGACAGTCAAGACAAACACCAGTCAGAAAATTTTATGAGACACTCAAGTCCATCTATGGCCTCTCAAGTATGACTCTTCAAAGGACACCTACAAAATACCTTCAACAGACAAACCTGGTGACAAAAATTCACCACTGTATTAGATACTAGAACCTAAGAGCTCAACAGAGACTTGGATTCTTTGGCTCATTAACATTCTTCCTGCAGACCACCCCTCTCAGAAACATAAAGGCTGAACTCTTCCCCCTCTTTTTTTCCCAACAGGTTAGTGTTCTGTCATTTCTGTCCTTGCTAACAGCTCTGGGATAAAGAGTGGTGTTAAACTACCTCAGAGAAAGGGGTCAAGCGATGAAAAATATTCAAACCAGCAGTGTCCAGCCTATATACAACTGTGATTTCTAAGCTTCTTCAGCCCTCACAAAAAGTGCTATAAACAGAGGGTGAAGCTTCAAGAAACTAAATTTTGAGTGGTAATATTGATTTCAGATGTTTCTTTTATGCTTATCCACACTCCTGCACTCTACCATGCCACTTCTGTGGCGTGACAGGCCCATTGTCTGTGTGGCTGAGATGTCTCAGTCAAGGGACTGACAGAGTTTGAAAAACAAACAAAGACCATAAAATCAAACATTTTTTACAGTATTTTTTTTTTTTGCTTGCTTGTCAAGCCATATCTGTAGTTTCTGTTGATGGTTAACAGCATAGAGAACTGAGTATATTGTGCCACCTTAACCACGGCGACAGTGCTCTGTATGGCAGGGACTGTGGGATATCATAAACCAATATTGCAGTCAAAGGCTTCTTCTGAAACCACAGCATGAAGGGTAGCTACTTTTTTTCAACTGTATCAGCTCTCCTTGCTTTCCATGTTCATTAAGTATCTCTGCCTTGCTAGGTCAACACATTGCTTATTAGTCATTAGTAGACTATTGTAGAGAAATTATACAATTAAGAAAACATCAGAGACAGCAATTTAAGTTTCTTTATAATGCTTAAGGAGGAGGCATGGACTATTCTTTCACTCCTCAATGACTATGAACTCAAAATATAATAAAAACCTGGGAAATTAAAAAAGGGGAGTGAAGGGAAAAGTGGAAAAATTTTTACCTTTGAAAAGTAACGGAACTAGAATGAAAATTTCTTTGATAAGCTACGAAACTTTCCAGATAATGTTAAAAAGTTTAAGTGTTATGCATAAAATTACAGGGAACCAATGTATATAAGGGAAAAAAAAATAAATGGAAATTATTTTTTCTTATCCCATACCTGATAGGAGCAATTCCATATTGCTGTTTGTAAGTGTTGCATTTACTCTTCCTGAAGTTGCATTGAAACTGGTGACTGTCAAAGTCATGGGCTGTTTCTTGCTTTTGTAATTGTAAGATCCTTTCCATATGTAATTTTGGGCAAATACATCATCAGGAACTACACAGACATCAAACATGTTTCAAGACATTGTGCAATATTTAGTGCTTATGAAGTCAAGCATCCAACAGTACGTAAGATAAACATTAGCATTTTCTCTACTCTACCCTCTCCATTTTAAGTCTATTAGGCATAATCTTCACATACAAAGCATAGAAGCCTGTCATGCACATTTATGAAAGAAATGCATTTGTACCGAAGAACACAACCACAATTGTACCTTCATTTGCTCCTTTCCACAAATATGGACATGTACTAAAATTAAACCAACTTCACAAAATCTAACTTAACAGCTGTAACCAAAAGACCCTATTCATCTCACTGCAGGATCTTCTCTATGCCAGCACAGACAGGCAGGGACATACTGCTCGGATTTTGTAGAAATTAATATCTATTAGATATCTAAATTTTTATAAGTACATTTAAATCACACTATAAGATTACAAGCATCTTTGTTATTACCTAGTCACTTTTTCTAATGAAAAATTTATATAAGAAGTTTTGTCTTGTCTTCAAATGCTTAAAAACATTATGAGCTTCACCAGGAGAGAAAAAAAAATCCCCCAATTTAAAATTAAAAAGAGATCATAGACTGCAAAGAGTATAATTATGCTAGATGTATACCTTTACATTTAATATTTATCATTGCCCAACTGTAAAATGATTAATTTAAGTTATGCTATTCCAGCAACAGTATGGTTAAAAAAAAAAAAAGTTATGTATCCAGTAAAAACAGATACATGCAAATCTTCAATCTAACATGAGATACCATTTAAACAACTAAATTTAAGGTGACTTATGATGTGTTTACTACACTTTTCAAAGAAAATGTGTCAAACTTAGCCCTGCAGCAAATAAACACTATTAAAATCAGCACTTTCACATCGTTTGGAGTCACTCACACTTAAAGCTCTGGGTTCATGTATGCCTTGGCACAGAAGAATACTTGCCCCTCTCACAGGATATCCCACAGTATATCTCACAGGATATCCCAAAATTCAAGACTGGGGCAAACTGGAATACCCGACCGTCTTCCTTCATCATTTATTTTATGGGTCACAGAGACAGGCTGTTTTCCCCACGGAGGGTAAAAGATCTTTCGCAGTTTTCTATTTGCATATGTATATGTATGTATGCATTTCTTTTTGACAAATAAACACATAAAACCAAAACACCCAGATACTGGGCCTGCAAACTGCAAGCAAGGAAACTGCATGGTGCAAACAGTCTGTGCAGCCTTCAAGCACTTCAAAGGAGCCCACAGGAGAGATGGGGAGGGAGTGTAGCGATAGGACAAGAGGTAATGGCTTCAAGCTGAAACAGTGTAGATTTAGATTAGGTATTAGGAAGGAATTTTTCACTATGAGGGGGGTGAGACACTGGAACAGGTTGCCCAGAGAAGCTGTGGATGCCCCATCCCTGGAGGGGTTCAAGGCCAGGCTGGATGAGGCTTTGAGCAACCTGGGCTAGTGGGAGGTGTCCCTGCCCATGGCAGGGGGGTTGGAACTCAATGATATTTGAGGTCCCTTCCAACCCAAACCGTTCTATGATTCTGTGATTCTATGATTTGTGATCTGCCTGAAATGTATTTCCCTACTTTTGGGAAAACTGATCTTTATGTACTTTATTTGCAATTAATTGTACAAAAAAGTTTCAGAATTAAAAAAAACCTGATAATATGATTACCAAGGAATTACTTCTACATCTTTATTCATTATGAGTAGACATTGAATAGGTTTATAGTCAAAGGCTAACTTTAGTTAAGGAGACTTCTCTCTTCAAAAAGTCTCTTCAGTGAACAGAGAAAGGTTTCACTTGGATCTAGTCAGGACATCCAAAGATAGTCTTCTTTAGCAAATCGGTTAAAACTGGAGCTGAATTTAGCCAAGAGTTAGAGAGACTAGCTTCTCTAGGCCAAAATTAGCTTTTTTGAAGACTAAGTTTAAGGCTAATACTAAAGTATTTAGGTAAAGCAATTTAAATTAGCAATAAGAGCAAGACTGTAAAAAAAAACACCTGTGAAACATCTTTAAAGTATTTCTGGGTGAGCAGTATAGTTTCTGAACAAGTAGACTGCATAGGATCTTACACAGAAACCAATAAAACTCTCATCACATAAGAGTTTGAAAATTTATATGGACATAAATAATGCCATATAGTCTAGACGGACTTAAACATTGGCAAGCAATTTAATTAATGATATTTTTGTTCCGTTAATGTAATGCCTAATCTAATACCCTTTACTCATTCTAAGCCATTCAGTGCAGTCTCAATAAAGTGTTTCTTGTTTCCTTTTCTACAGAAATTGTTTTAAACTACATATACCTCAAACTACTTACCACTTAGTTTTGGACTTGGTGTTCCCAACGCTGGTCTGGGATCCTTCACTAATATTTTGGAACCAGCTGTTAGAAAGAATGAATGACAAAAAGACAAATCAGTAGCAAATATGTTACTCAGAAACTAGGAAAATAATTTCCACGATGGAATTTGTTACAAAGGATATAAGATGACATTTCAAACTCAAATATGAATGACACTTCAGTCAGTATCAAGCCTTAGTATCACAGGAGCACATGTCCACTCATTTCTTCTGTTGCTGCATTTTCTCCTAAGTCAGTCACCTGGATGACACCAAGTCATTTGCAATACCCAAACAGCGTAGGCTTTCACTTCAGAATACATATTTCAGAATTCACAGTCCTGGACTATGCACCTAATATGTGAGATGTCTTCTAATATGCCATCTGAGGCAAGTTATGTAATTTAAATCAGGATTCACACATAACAGCACTGTGAATAGTGCCTTGACTGGAAACAGTGTAACACCACACAGTGAAGAGATACATAACAAGGGAGTTTTCCATGATGTTCCTCTACAGGATTTATTTTTCTTCAACAGCACTGACTGAGATATCTTGTGTTCAAGACCGAAAATCTACAGATGAATGCCTAATCTCTTAACAATGGAGGAGAAGGCCACTGTTTCTTTGAAGAATAGAAACAGAAAGAAAGAAAAAAATGAGGCTGTCCACAGTATCTCCAACTGTTCAGGTGATTTGAGCACTGGAAGTTGGAGAATTTCATTTCTTCTCTGCTTAGAGCAGGAACTCTCCTACTGCTGAAGATGATGAACTAAATGCAATGGGACAGTGCCATTTCCTGCAGATGGAGCTATTTTATTTTGCAGAAACTAATTTGGATTCACTGGGCTATAAAAAAGACACATAACTCTGTCTCCTAAAGTAGAATACTCTCATGCAGCACTGTGGTGGGTTAACCTTGGGTGGACACCAGGTGCCCGCCAGGCCCCTCTATCACTCCCCTCTTCAGCAGAATAAGGGGAAGAAAACAAGATTAAAAACTCATGGGTTAAGATAAAAGCAGTTCAATTAAAGTAAAAGCCAAGGTTGCAGGCGGAAGCAAAGGAAAAACAAAGATTTTATCCTCTACTTCCCATCAGTAAGCAATATCCAACCACTTCCCAGGAAGCAGGCCTTCAATAGGTGTAGCAGTTGCTCCCGGAGACAAACAGTGAATGCCCCCTCCTCCTCCCTTTCCTTATATTTTACTGCTGAGCAGACATCACATGGTACGGAATATCCCCTTGGTCAATTTGGGTCAACTGTCCTGGCTCTGTTCCCTCCCAGGGTCCTGCCCAACCCTAGAGCCCCCAGCCTACTGGGAGGGGAGGGGGATTGTTGTGGAGACAGCCTTGATGCTGTGTGAGTACTGCTCAGCAGTAGCCAAACACTGGTGTTATCAACACCTTTCTAGCTACCAATGCAACACACAGCACTATGAGAGCTGCTATGGGGAAAATTAACTCCATCCCAGCCAGACCCAATACAACTACTAAGCTCCATTACTTGCTCCAATGGTTGTTTCAATATTTTGAATTTTGGATCTTGGCTTTGAACCCAGCCCTTTTCTCTCTGATTGATACTCTAAAAAAAAAAAAAAAAAAAAAAAAGACAAGAAAAGCAACTTCCTTCTCGCTAAGTGGAGTAATTTTCTGCATAAAAAGGAAACTTTAGCAAGAAGCACAGAGAATATTTTTCTTGAGAATAACTTCGAGCTTATTATAGAAGGCTTGTTCTTGGTTTTATAGATTAAAACTGGAAAGAAACAAGGGCAGGCATTGGAATCCAACCTTGAGATCTCATGGCCTGTTACTACTGATTGATTAATCGCTACTTCCTCCCTGTTTTGAAAGAAAGTTACCGAACTTCACTGAACATGGCTGACCTGGAGGGCATGCCTCAACAACATATGGTTTTTGACTATATCAAGTCTTAGTATAAGAAGCTGATGAGTCAATCAGCCTTGTAAAGGTGGATACATTTCTAGTAAACTTCAGAACTTAAATTTTAAATACAAAATAAAATTTAAATACAAATTTTAAATACAAACCCAAACCTAAAACAAGCTATCTATGGAGTTCAAGTTTCTAAGTCCAGATATTTGCTCAGTAGGACTTTCAAGATTGCAACTTTGTATTTAAATGACCAAATTCTGGTTGAATTCCCTACAGATCCTTTCAGAGTTCTCAACTCCAAATGTTTTATTGCTTTTCATTCCATCTCCAGGTTATTTTTGTGAAGTTCACAATCATGGGTGAAAAACCTGACCTGGTGCTCTTCTCCCTTCCATAGGAGAGAGAAATTTTACCACTCTGTAACAGGTAAAATTGAAAATGTTTGAGATATTTTACTTCATCAAATTAGAGTTAATACCTTACAATATGTTGCTCATGCTTAGTTATCTCCACTGCTAGTAAGCAAGCAGCAAGACCTCTGAACTTAAAAAAAATTCCATTTCTATAACATTTTCTCAGGACATTGAGAAACTAAGTTATAGGCCAAGGTAGATACACTCATAGTTACCACTTAATATTTAAAAAAAATATATAAATGTTCCTTACTATCAGGTAGGACAGCTAATACTACTTGTTTCAATATTATCAGCAGAAGATTCTTGAATCAAAATACAACAGATGAATCACTTTTGGCCTGCCATAACACTTCCTGAGTACTGAACAAGTTATAAGTTTCCTGGCAGCTTGCTTTCTAATGCTTTCCCAAAGCTCTGCCTTTTTTTCCCCCAGCACTTGACTGGCATGTAATGCCAGAACACCTGCTTTTTTGTAATACAAAATATTCATTTCCTATTTCCCTTCCAGCAGCAGTGTTTGGCTATGTAGCCATTGAATGCCTCTATAAAAGCCCTGGGGATAACCACATCTGAACCATAAGGTATCAGTAATCTGAAAGGTGCTTTAATTATTCAGGAAATATAATTCCAAACAGTTGCTGTACTTGACATTTCTTATCTCACATGAAAAACATCATTCTCACCATTATTTTTCCATGAGTTTTTTCATGCCCTACCATGACAAAGTATGTAGTAAAAGTTAGAAACAAAATAAAATGCTGGAACATCAAGGACAAAGGAGATACATTTTGTTTGCAAGTAGTATATTTTGTATTTGTATAATACAATATAATATTAAACCCTATGTATTAATTCCATGAAGTGATTCAGACATCTCCTTGGACTTTAGGCATTCTTCTCCAATACTGCAACTGTCATAGCTGTCTTACAGCTGACACCATCTCTTTAAATAAAATTATCCTGATGTAAGTTCAGTAGGTATGTGCAAAAACATCAAGATTCTTATTCCACTGAGCTTATGAGAATGTAATCCTCACCTGATTCAGTCAGAAGTCTAAAAGTAGGCGTTACCCAAATATTTGGCCTCCAGAATTGTATCTGGAATTGACACCTCTGAGCATATAAACAAAAGGCACGTACATGAAAGCATATGTCCCATTAAACACAACTGACAAAGGATTAGTTATCCTCTTAGATGTTCTCCCTCCTAGCTCTCCTTGCCATTCTGCCTTACCTTATTAGACTGCAAGTGAAGAAGATAACCAAAATATGACAGATGAGAGATATAGAAGAGAAACAGAGGGAAGAGATATAGAGAGATGCAGAGGGAACCAGAAGAGCTTACCTTCACAAACTGGAACTTTCCCAGTCCATGTCCCATCAGACCTACAGGCTCTATGCTCTGATCCTCCTGCCAGGAAGAAGCCTGGCTGACAAGTATAAATCAATGTATAACCAAGTGAGGGAAGATCCATTCCTGCAACGTTAGCATGAATTGGTGTTTCTGGTTGTTTGCAGCTGTGAGCTACAAAGAAAAGACAAAATATCCTTCAGTCAAAAGGGTGAAAATACTTCCGAAAAACATAATCATACCCATTCTCACAGGTAAATAATGAAGAAAAAAGCATCAGTAAAAATAACATTTTAATATATTTTTAATTCACATGTAAAATTACTTTATAGTTGCTAAATTACTGTCCTGAGCCTGTAAATACACTCTTGAAAATGGACCTTTCAATTTCAAGGGACCAAGAACCAACTTAAATGCATTTGCATGACCAAAATGAATTGTCTGCATATGCCAACACAAACAGCACACATCTTAACTACAGTTAAAGGCAATCATGGCTTGTGACTTACATGACTTATGGTATCTGTGTAGCATAGAATAACAGTAAATAAATGGGTCATTTGGAAAACACTACGAAAGGTCAAAGAGAAGTTGTAGGTGAGGCAAGTTCTAAATAACAGGCAGAAAAATTAATTACCATTTCTAATGTCATGCAAAATGTCTTACATCTTTAACAACCACCAGAATCTGAGTCTTGTGTTATCTCAAAAACAGCATATTTCCAAGAGCAGAGCTCAACTTTCAAGACACTGAGCTATCGATTTGCTGTTTGCTTAGAGGGAAGGCTAACACCAACTGAAACACCGATGTTGTTTACTTCTGTGGATATGTTCTCCATACACTGAAGTGATTCTATAAGGTCAGACCTTACAAGGTGAGAATATTTCCAGAAAAATACATCTGTCAAGCTGAAAAACTAGAAAGACTAACCATTATCTTATACCTTCAGTAAATTAGCACTATTTACTGAAGTGTAAAAGATCTAAGAAATTAAATGCTGCTTCCTGTACTTGTCTCCAGATTCAAAAGTTTCCAGTCACAAACCCCTTTCTTCCCCCTTCTTAAAATACCCTGACTCCTTAGTTGGGAAACAGCTCAAACTCTTTACTAGAACTGATTGTAACTACCTGCTCCACTACCAGTTGGGGTTGTGCAGGGCTTTCCTACATGTCCTGTTCTCCCCATCTTCTCCCAACAATTTCACTCTCTTCATTGGAAGGATTGCACTCTCTTAGATAGAAACTTACTATTTTCAGCATATCTGTGGATGAAGAGCTCTCTGTTATTCTCACTATATTGTGGGTTTTGGTTTTTTTATTTTTTTTTTTTTAATTCCATAGGCTATTGTAGAAAAATTCATTCACAAAACATTTCTAGCTGCTGTAAGCTAGTAATGCAAATTTGTGTTAACTTTAAATTAATAAAAAATATAAATTAAGTGAACTTTATCACAATGTTACTGT